CTGAGAAGGGTTGTAGGCGTACTGCTGTAAGTCCTACAATTCTTCAAAGGAATTCCACCAAGACATGATCGGCGAGGTTGTTTGTACTATTTGTATATACGTGTGGTGTGTCATATCAATTGGTGTTTTTGGATTCATTGTGTTTACTTGTTGTTTTCGTGTCTTGTTGTTATTGCGTAATTTTGTTAAAATTTTCGTCGTGATTACTTCTGAAGTTGTTTCGAGTCTTCTACATCCATGAATGAATTGATTGATGTTAAGGACAGCAGATGGGTCGTATACGCCGGGGAGGCTAGGCTATTGCTGAGAATGAAATGCACACGGAGATAATTGTTAGCTGCGGTCCGACACGCCGGGGAGGGAGAGTGTAAACGACTGAGGCTCGCATGCGTCACCGCTACTAGAACTGAGGCAGAATGAGTGACAAGCGATTTCAGTGGTAATTGGTAATGAGTAGATAAGAGGATGTGCGTAGAGTATCGTGAGGTGCTGTCATGGTCACTTTGCATTCTGCAAGAGTCATTCTAGCAAGTGGAGACTGTGTTGGAAGATGTCAAGAGGAGGTCTCTATCTGGAGGCGCAGGTCGTCAGCGATGTGTGAGATTGTGCTGTGGGTATGCTTGTGGTGTGTTGGCTTTTCTGTTTGTTTTCCATTTCAGCTCTGTCCGTGTGACCCAGGTTCTCTCAATGGCATCCAAGTCAACGTGCATTGATCGTGAAGGAAAAAAGGGTTGGATCCCTTTTTTGCCGGGGAGTGTCAATGGAGTTGAAGATTGAACGATCAATTCTTGGTTGTTTGCTCAAAATCAACTTCCCCGATTTTCGCGGAGGCATCAATACGACAGTCATCGTCTCATCGGTCGCTGTTCAGAAAGAAGAGTGAAACATCGTCAGAAGTAATATAACGATTTATTATTGTAATATTTGTTTACAGACCTTAGTTGCTTATTCCTTTTATATGTTGGTGTAACAATAAACAAATCTAAAGCGGCAGATCAGTGTTTTGGTTTTTGCGTCCGTTATCACTAAGCGTTTCTGAGAAATCTCCGAAGAACAGCGTGGGCCCGAGCGTAGCGAGAGCTGGGCATTAACGGTTTATGAGACGTGATTGACAGGCTATGTGCCAGTTTCCAGTGGATGAGGGAATGCAGTGTGATAACTTCAAGAGATGGTTTCACAGTATGTGCACGAACCTTACTCCAGAAGCATACAAACGCTGCTGCAAACCTCTAGCGAACTGGTTGTGCAACGACTGCTGTAGTACAACTAAACTTCGTATTACAGAATCCATAGCTACTCTTAGTGGGGCTTTAAAGCTCATGGACTGCAAGCGTCCTCCACCACAGAAGAATACCGACTATTGCTCAGATAGCGATGACGTGACTAGCGTCATTGACAAAACAGCACATGTCCCAGATGCGACCTTGCCAATAAGTGAGTGCTCTACAGCACAGAAGAACACCCAGCATATTACAGACACCCAGGTCGCCCCCACGATACTGGATGAGCCCTCCAGTGACAGTAATGGAAAGACTGCCGTGAAGAAGAGGCGTACCAGGGGTCGAAAACCTGCAGCTCCAGTCGCCCAGGGACTGGCGGAACAAGCCTCATTCACACCGGTGAGCAGCAGACAGACGAACCCCACTAAGATTAGCGAGGACGCCAATGAATGGCGCACCGTAGTCTCTCGCAAAAAGCGAGATAAGGATAACACTTCGGCCACATCGCCCAAGAACGATAGAAACACACTTACGCCTTAGAACAAGAAAGTCACGGAAAGCAAACCCGATCTCTCTGACAGGTCTCTCATTCTGCACAAAGTGGAGGAGTCACTGGCCCTCGACCCTAAGACCAGATTCGAGCATGACCTTAACTTGGTCAAGCCCCTTTTAGACAAGCTACTGCCACCAACAGTATCAGGCATTACTATACACAGAGTATACAGAATAGGTCAAAAGCCTGACCCTACAGTAAGTGAACCTGTACGTCTCCTCAAAGTCGTACTAAACTCTAAAGCAGAAAGGGATGCTATTCTAAGCAACTCTCATATTCTCAAAGGATCAGGGATATATGTCCGCGCTGACTTAAGCCTAGCAGACCGTGTCAAAAGACAGGCTGCGGCACTCGAATTAAGTGAGCGACGCCGGAACGGTGAGAAGAACCTTAAGATTAAGGGTTTTCGGGTTGTCCGAGTTCGCAGTTTAATGATCCCGAAACCTCTTTGGGTGGGCCGGGGAAGCACCAATCTGAACTAACAGTCTGCCACACAAACGCCCGCAGCCTGTTAAATCAAAGGACTGAGCTGGCAAACATGATAGAAACCGGAAACCCGGATGTAATTATTATCACAGAGACATGGCTCACACCCGATGTCACTGACAACGAAGTTAACCTGCCAAACTTCGAAGTGCATAGGGTAGACCGACTAAACCGCAAAGGAGGGGGCGTAGTCATCTACCTCAAGAAAGGCTTAACCGTGCGTAGTATCGAAGCACTCGCCCACGAAAGTGAGTCGTGCAAACTTCTACGCTGCAGACTTAAATGCATAGGCCAAGACATTGACCTCATTGCTGTGTACCGCAGTCCTGACTGCAGTGCAGACGACTTCCTAATAGAGAAGCTAGGCTCCTGGACTTCAAAATGTCGAAGTCTCGTAGTCGGTGACTTCAACGCCCCAACAGTTGACTGGTCGAGCCTAACAACTCCATCTTCAGTCAACTCCTTTGATCATAAACTGCTAGAATCTAGTATATTGCTAGCCCTAGTCCAACATATCATTAAGCCCACGCGCTATGACTCACAGCACTCCTCGTCAACTCTGGACCTAGTGTTCTCACACGGTGAGGATGTGGATCTCATACAACATCTTCCTCCGTTAGGAAGAAGTGACCATGCTGTGCTCACTTTCAAGTTCACAGCAACGGCAGCAAGGGCCAAAACCCCAGCTCGACCAAACGTTTGGAAAGCTGACACAAATGCGATCGTCTCAGCAGCCAACTCAGTAAACTGGTACATCAATCCAGAGTCCCAAGTAGAAGCCGCATGGAACCGATTTAAGCAACTTTACGCCCAAGTAACTGTACCCTTCATCCCTTGGTCTGTTCCAAAGGGTCGGAAACATTCCCCCCCTTGGATAAACCGGGAGATTCGTAAGTTACTCAGACGTAAACGCAAATGTTGGAACCTGTTTGCAACACTTGAGACTTCTGAGACCAGGGAATTATATACTACTGCTAAAAATAAAGCTATCACAGAAATCCGCCAATCAAGGATGAAGTTCGAGACACACCTGGCTCAAAATGCAAAGGCACAACCTAAGAAAATTTTCTCGTACTTGAATTTCAGGAATAAAACACCCAATGGTGTCCCAAACCTGGTTATTGACAAAGATACAATCGAAGAAGATCAAGAAAAAGCAGAAGCAATGGCAAACTACTTCTCCCAAGTCTTCACTCAGGAGTCATCACTGCCTATAGGATCAGCTCTGGCTGCATCAGAAGAACATGGGATAGATTCCGTTGACGTCGACCAAGGCATCGTGCTCAACTGCTTAATGAAACTAGATGCAGGAAAATCAATGGGCCCTGACAATCTTCATCCAAGGCTTCTCAAGGAGCTATTAGCCCACATAGCCGGCCCCTTGACCACGATCTTCAAGCTATCTCTCCTAAATGGAGTGTTGCCACGTGATTGGAAAGACGCCATAGTAACCCCCATACACAAAGGAGGATCAAGACAAAGCACCTCAAATTACAGGCCTATCAGTCTCACCAGCACTTTAATCAAGACACTGGAAAGAATTATCAAGAAAAGCATCATGGCTTATCTGGAAAATAGCAGCTTGTTATCTGGAGCACAGCATGGCTTCCGGAGGAACCTCTCATGCCTGCCAAATCTCCTGACTGCAAGAGAAAGCTGGGTCAAATCAAAGGACAACAGAATACCCGTTGACGTCGTCTTCATAGACTTCAGCAAAGCCTTTGATAAAGTACCTCACAAAAGACTACTCATGAAATTGGAAAGTCTTGGTATCAAAGGCAGACTACTAGACTGGCTCAGGGAATTCCTCATAGATAGGAGGCAGAGGGTTAGGATCAACACAAAACTCTCCTCCTGGACAGCTGTAAGTAGCGGAGTGCCACAAGGCACGGTTCTCGGTCCTCTCCTTTTTATTCTGTATATCAATGAGTTACCTCTGCTCACCGACTCCCCTATGCTCCTGTATGCAGACGACTTAAAAATTTGGAGAAAGCTGAGGGGCAACAGTGATACGTCCACGTTGCAAGAAGACCTCAACAAATTGTCAGAGTGGTCTGTTGAATGGATGCTCCCGATCAATGTGGCAAAATGTGCAACCATGCGCATTGGACAAGCAAGCACGAGCTCCTACGAACTAGAGGGAATAACACTTCCATCAGTTCAGACTCACTTGAACTTAGGTGTCATAGTTAGCCACGACTTAAAAACTACAGCACACTGTCGCGCGGTGGCCGCACGTAGTTTCAGGTCCTTATGGGCGATTCGCAGAGCCTTTACAAGAATTACCAGAGATATGTTCACCTCCTTATACACATCTCTGGTTAGGTCAAGACTGGAAAACTGATTCCAGGCCGCCAGCCCTTGTCTCAAAGGGGACTCACACATTCTAGAAAGGGTTTAAATAAGGGCAACACGTATGGTTCACGGCATAGCTAACTTATCATACGAGGAAAGACTAGATAGTTTAAATCTCTTCTCACTGTCATACCGTAGGCAGAGAGGAGATTTAATCACAATGTTTAAAACTTTAAATAATGACTACGGACCTGACCTATTCTCTCTTTTCCTTCCCACCAGGTCGGAACACCTCAGAGGACATAGCAGGAGGAATCAAAAGCCAAGGAGAAATCATATTGCTGTTGAGTACTGGTTCTCACATCGAGTCATAAACTCTTGGAACCGATTCCCAGAAGAAGTGGTGTCTGCGACTTCAACTGATTTTTAGGGGTTGAGAGATATTAAAGGTTTGACGTGATATCTCGTTCAACAACTTCTAATTAATTTATTCTCGCGTACCAAAGACAAAGCAAAAGCCAACAATTGGTCGTCCAAACGAAGAAATGTATTTACGAACCAAAACCAGCCGTTAGACGAACGCTTAGCTAGCTAGTGATCGTGCACGTTACACGACGGGGTACCAAATGGCGGGGATGCTTGACCGGAAGCCTTCAGCTAAACAAGTCGACTTAAACAGTGGTGGTCAGCATCCAATGAGTGATTGCTGTGGTCAATAATTTTGGGGAATTATTTACCGCTACAGCTCACTCCCCCCTAGTGGGGTCGTGAGGACCCTAAGACAGAACCAGCCGGAAGTAAAAAAACTCGATGGTTCCCTTTCGGGTGAAAAAAATCTTCCGAGCGGCTTGGTCGTATGCCTACTGGTTTGTCTGCCTATGCTAATAGGGTGTTTGTACATAGCTTCCTGGTTGTTGTTCGTTGGATTCCGTGCTTCGTTTGTTTCCTGTCCAGTGCCCGTCGCACCTGGAAAAGAAAACAAGAACGCTAAGAACCATGTCGAGGAAAATGTACGAAATGACCTTTTTGGTTAAAAAAAATTATGTGCATTTACTATACAGTAAAATAATGCTAAGTTCAGAACATCGAAAAAAAATACATATAATTAATTTTTTTGTGTATGTTACATGAACTGTTGAAAAAAATTTTTGTGTTCGGTGGTACTGTATATAAAAAAAAATTATACGTCAAAAAAAAAGTTAGTACCACAAACGAGTGAGTTGCGTGAATCACACGACTTCGTTAAGTCAAATAAGTGTGCAGATATTCTGGGAACCTTACGGTGCGTCCAGAACGGGTTTTCTTGAGAGGCTCGATAGAAGGTTCGGTAGCTGTCGCTGTGCTAGCGACTTCATCGATGTCTACACGATCTTCTGTTACTTGTGGATTTTGGGGTACGTTCAGCTCTATGCTAATAGGATTACCCTCCAAGTAAGCCGGTTTCAGACGGTCAATGCTGACGGTGTCCTCGCGGCCGTTTTTGTCCAAGACAAAGAATTTATCAGAACGTTTAATAACCTTATAAGGTCCGTCATATGGGGGTTCCAGGGGTCTGCGCACAGAGTCGCGACGAACAAATACATGTGAAGAAGTTTTCAAACACGGATGAACGAAAACATCAATGGACTGTGGACGAAGGGGAGCAGGTTTAACTGAACGCATTGCGTTTGTAAGCCTGCTGACGTATGAAGCGTGATCTACCACTGGTGGGAAGCTCGAGGGAGAAACAAATTCACCAGGCAGTCGCAGTGTCGTGCCATATACTAGCTCGGCGCTAGTACAACCAGCATCGGTTTTCAAGGCGTTTCGTATCCCTAGGAGAACTAACGGAGGGATTCAGTCCAATGGGTGGTGTTTGCAGCTGACAGACCAGCTTTCAGCTGTCTGTGTAGACGTTCTACCATACCATTAGCTTGAGGATGGTAGGCTGTTGTTCGAAATCGCATGCAACCTAATATTTTAGTCAGGGCAAAGAATAAGCCACTTTCGAATTGCCGCCCGCGATCAGTTGTTATGGAAGATGGGCATCCAAAGTTAGCGATCCATCTTTCTACGAAGACGCGTGCGACTGTTTCAGCAGATACGTCCTTGATGGGTACTGCTTCCGGCCATCGTGTGAATCGATCGATGCAAGTTAAAATATAGGCATATCCATGTGATTCAGGAAGGGGACCAACCAAATCTATATGGACGTGTTCGAAACGAGCGTCAGGGAGAAGAAAGGTGCCAAGTGGGCTTTTGGTGTGTCTTATCACCTTGCACTTTTGACAAGCTAAGCACGTTTGTGCCCATTCCCTTACTTCTTTATTAATGCCAGGCCAACAAAACCGACTAGTTACGAGCTTGACAGTAGTGCGAATACCTGGGTGAGATAAGCCATGCAACGTATTGAAGACGTTACGGCGATAACTTTTAGGCACGATGGGGCGAGGAGTACTCGTGGAAATGTCGCACAGAATAGTATCTCTTCCCATACCTAAGGGTTTCTCAGCTAATTGTAGAGTTGTTTTCGACAACTCATGTTGAAGTTCGGCATCTTCTTTTTGAAGACGAGCCAGTTTTACTAGGTCTATGCCGTCGATTTGGGTGAAAGAACAAACGCGCGACAAGGCATCTGCCACAGTGTTGTTTACTCCGGATACATGGCGAATATCTGATGTAAACTGTGAGACGTAATCCAGTTGTCGTGATTCCCTGGGTGAATACTTATCTGAAGGTGAGTTCAGAGAGTACGTCAGAGGTTTGTGATCCGTAAAAATTATAAATTCACGACCCTCTACCGAATGTCTAAAATGTCGTATAGCACAGTACATAGCCAGAAGTTCTCTGCCGAATGTGCTGTACTTCGTTTCAGCTAATTGAAGGCGCCGGGAGAAAAAGGCAAGTGGTTGCCACTCATTGTCAACTAGCTGTTGTAGAACTGCGCCGATTGCAGTGTTTGATGCATCAACCGAGATACTTAACGGTGCCGTTGGATCCTGATACATCAGAAGTGTGGCATTCGCAATAGCTTTTTTAATCTGGGTAAAAGCATTTCGAGCAGACGCGTCAAGTTCTATGGACTTGTTATTCCCTCGAAGGAGGTCTGTCAATGGCTGAATCAAAGAGGCACAGTTGGGAATAAAGCGTCGATAATAACTTACTAAGCCGTTAAAAGTGCGGAGACTTTTCACCGTCTGTGGCTCTGGAAAGTTCAGTATAGCCTCGACCTTAGTAGCCAGTGGGCGAATGCCCTTGCAGTCAATAGTGTGACCCAGAAAGTCGAGTGAGTCAACACCGATTTGACATTTTTGAATATTAATGGTAACACCATGTTGGCGTAACCTGTCAAATGCCAAGTCCAAGTGCCTAAGGTGAGTTTCCTTGTCTGGACTGGCAATGAGGCAGTCGTCTAAGTATGCGTATACAAAGTCGAGACCGCGAAATACTTCGTCAATGAAGCGTTGGAATGTTTGGGCTGCATTCCGAAGACCGAATGGCATACGTAGAAATTCAAAAAGTCCGAAAGGCGTAATGATAGCCGTTTTCGGGATGTCTTCTGTTGCCATCGGGATTTGGTTATACGCTTTAACCAAGTCGATTTTGGAGAATATAGTCGCGCCGGATAAGGTTGCCGTCAAGTCGTGTATATGAGGCAACGGGTAGCAATCAGGGGTTGTTTTGGCATTCACTCGCCGGTAATCACCGGTGGGTCGCCAATCGTTGCTATCCTTTTTCGGAACCATATGAAGTGGGGATGCCCATGGGCTATTCGAAGGTCGAATGATGCCAAGGGTAAGCATATGGTCAAATTCATTCCTGGCGATTCTCAGTTTGTCAGGAGCTAATCGTCGTGCTTTAGATGTCACAGGTTGTCCTGTGGTAATGATGTGGTGCATAACATTGCTGGTTATGCACGGTAGGTCGTTCGACGGGCAATTAAGTTCCGGATACTTGTCAACAATAGGTTGAAAAGTTGGATCAAGAATTGCCTTTATCTTAACGGGTGACAAGCTAGGGCCTATGTAGGTGATGCCTTTGATAGACAGACTAGTAGTATTGTCAATCAGTCGTTTTCGGCGGACGTCTACGAGTAAATCATGATGATTAAGTAGGTCCGTGCCAATGATGGGCATTGTAACGTCAGCGAGAAGGAAAATCCACCGAATAGGTTTGCGTAAACCTACGTTCAGATAGACGTATTTCCTACCAAAGGTTGCGATTGGTTTTCCATTTGCAGCCTGTAAGTTGAAGGTAGGTTCCTTCTGTCGATCTGCTGCTGTAGCAGGAAGGACGCTGACTTCGGCGCCTGTGTCGACTAAGTATCGAGTCTGGCTTATCACATCATGGATGTAAAGTAGGCGGCTAGTGCCACCGGCGACGGTTGCCGCTAACGCGTGCCGGCGGGATAGTTTCCCACAGACTTTGAGACATTTCCGAAGTTACAAGGCTTACGGCAACACTTCGCTTCTTGGCCATAGGTGTTGTGGTACCAGCACCAGTCAGGGTTTTTCAGTGAACGTGGTTTGGACTTAGATCGACCACGCGAGTTCCTGCGTTGAGGAGATTTAGGACGACGGTTGGAGGATTTAGAATGTGTGTTTGACCTAAACATCTGCTGAAGGGAGTTGCATAACTCTGTCATTGCAGGATCCTCACTCGAAGTCTGCTTAGTCATTGAGCATATTTCGGGGACAGACCGTTTAGTTATTTCTAGGATCTTATCTGCAGTAATAGCTAAGTTCTCTATTACAGTACCCTCAAGTGTCACAAGTACGGTCTGTACAGATTGTGGCAACTTGGTTAAGAAGAGTTCTCTAAACAGTCCTTCGTCGAACTGACATTGGCCGACGACTTGTTTCATTCTTGTCAGCATGCTCACGGCTGACTGATCTCCTAACTCGATGTTGCGAAATAATTCATCTAGACGTTGTCTGTCCGTGAGAGCGTTTCTCCTGAGGAGGGATGCTTTCAGCAACTCGTACGAGTTACTTACCTCGGGACTCAACATCTGTGATGTTACGTACTTGCTGAATTCCCGCGGTAGGGCGTGAATAACTGCAAGTAACTGTGAACGTTGATCAGTTATCCCATGCTCACAAAAATCTGCTTCAGCTAGCAGAAACCACGTTTCAGCATTATCTGGCCAGTATGGTACGAGCTGAATGGTTTTAGGAGTTGAGCGGATACGGATGACCTTGGGACTAAGATCACTCATGACGAAAATTATGTCGAATAATATATGGTACAAGAACAAATACAAAATGGAACGAACTCACCGGGGTTATCTGCGGATTTTTCGTGGATAAAGTTCGCGGTTGGGCTCACCAGTTTAAAGGTTGCGGATGGCTCACCAGTTTAGGGTTGAGAGATATTAAAGGTTTGACGTGATATCTCGTTCAACAACTTCTAATTAATTTATTCTCGCGTACCAAAGACAAAGCAAAAGCCAACAATTGGTCGTCCAAACGAAGAAATGTATTTACGAACCAAAACCAGCCGTTAGACGAACGCTTAGCTAGCTAGTGATCGTGCACGTTACACGACGGGGTACCAAATGGCGGGGATGCTTGACCGGAAGCCTTCAGCTAAACAAGTCGACTTAAACAGTGGTGGTCAGCATCCAATGAGTGATTGCTGTGGTCAATAATTTTGGGGAATTATTTACCGCTACAGATTCGTTCAAGAAGGGTTTGGACAACCACAGAAATCTACTAGAAAAGGATTAACATAGGCTGCAAGCCTTCTTTCCTCAACCAATAAATCTGAATCTGAAGGAGAAACGTTCTTACGGACCGACAACGTCTAGATGAATTATTTCGTAACATCGAGTTAGGAGGTCAGTCAGCCGTGACCATGCTGACAAAAATGAAGGAAGTCGTCGGCCCAAGTCAGTTCGACGAAGGACCGTTTAGAGAACTCTTCTTAACCAAGCTGCCACAGTCTGTACAGGCCGTACTTATGACACCTCAGGGTGTAACAACAGAAGACAAGGGCCAGGCAACAGATCGTTTTATTATGAAAATCAACACGTATTTATACATCTTTCAACTACATTATTATAGACAAGCGCAGTCATCTGATTGGTTGTTTAGGTAGACAAACGCAGGCTTCTGATTGGTTGTTTCGGGATTCCTTGACAAATAGAGTTCTCTATCTGCGAATCATATTTTGCCACGTTAACTTTGCTGTGATTGGTTGTTGACTCAGGCTTGTTCATATTTTCTCACGGCCCATATTAGTGACCTAGACCTTAACGTAGATTAGTGCCAACCAATCGGCTAGCAGCCTGCTCTCACCACACTCGTCCCCCCGTCAAATACGTGCGACTGAAGTCGGCTTGATCTACTTGGTGAAGGCGTCATCGTTGGCTTGTCTCGCTGTATCCATTTCTGGAGCTCGCTGACGTTCACGCGCCTCTCATTGTTCGCCATTGCGACTGTGTCTGCGTAACCCCATCTCGAAGTGACCATATATGGTCCTTCCCACTTTGGAAACTGTTTGCCTGACCCTGTCGAACATTCGTCCATACTTCGGCCCACACCTTCATATGCTGCTTTCGCCCGACCTCCCAGCAGCGTCTCAAGTAGCAGCTCCATCGCTGACAGATCTTGAACGCCACTCAACTGCGCAGAAGCCTTGAAGTCCTGCCCGAAGATCCATATGTCTCCATCAAAAACTGCAGGGTATAGGCTTTTCATTTGTCGGTAGGCAGCGACACCAAATGTAACAACAGAAGACAAGGGCCAGGCAACAGATCGTTTTATTATGAAAATCAACACGTATTTATACATCTTTCAACTACATTATTATAGACAAGCGCAGTCATCTGATTGGTTGTTTAGGTAGACAAACGCAGGCTTCTGATTGGTTGTTTCGGGATTCCTTGACAAATAGAGTTCTCTATCTGCGAATCATATTTTGCCACGTTAACTTTGCTGTGATTGGTTGTTGACTCAGGCTTGTTCATATTTTCTCACGGCCCATATTAGTGACCTAGACCTTAACGTAGATTAGTGCCAACCAATCGGCTAGCAGCCTGCTCTCACCACAAGGGTACTGTAATAGAGGACTTAGCTATTACTGCAGATAGGATTCTAGAAATAACTAAACGGCCTGTTCCTGAAATATGCTCGATGACTAAGCAGACTTCGAGTGAGGATCCTGCAATGATAGAGTTATGCAACTCCATCCAGCAGATGTTTAGGTCGAACATGCATTCTAACTCCTCCGACCGTCGTCCTAAATCTCCTCAACGCAGGAACTCGCGTGGTCGATCTAAGTCCAAACCACGTCAACTGAAAAACCCCGACTGGTGGTGGTACCACAACACCTATGGCCAAGAAGCAAAGTGTTGCCATAAGCCTTGTAACTTCGGAAATGTCTCAAAGTCTGTGGGAAACTATCCCGCCGGCACGCGTTAGCGGTAGCCGTCGCCGGTGGCACTAGCCGCCTTCTTCACATCCATGATGTGATAAGCCAGATTCGATACTTAGTCGACACAGGCGCCGAAGTCAGCGTCCTTCCTGCTACAGCAGCAGATCGACAGAAGGAACCTACCTTCAACTTACAGGCTGCAAATGGAAAACCAATCGCAACCTTTGGTAGAAAATACGTCTATCTGAACGTAGGTTTACGCAAACCTATTCGGTGGATTTTCCTTCTCGCTGACGTTACAATGCCCATCATTGGCACGGACCTACTTAATCATCATGATTTACTCGTAGACATCCGCTGAAAACGACTGATTGACAATACTACTAGTCTGTCAATCAAAGGCATCAGCTACATAGGCCCTAGCTTGTCACCCGTTAAGATAAAGGCAATTCTTGATCCAACTTTTCAACCTATGGTTGACAAGTATCCGGAACTTAATTGCCCGTCGAACGACCTACCGTGCATAACCAGCAATGTTATGCACCACATCATTACCACAGGAAAACCTGTGACATCTAAAGCACGACGATTAGCTCCTGACAAACTGAGAATCGCCAGGAATGAATTTGACCATATGCTTACCCTTGGCATCATTCGACCTTCGAATAGCCCATGGGCATCCCCACTTCGTATGGTTCCGAGAAAGGATAGCAACGATTGGCGACCCACCGGTGATTACGGCGAGTGAATGCCAAAACAACCCCTGATTGCTACCCGTTGCCTCATATACACGACTTGACGGCAACCTTATATGGCGCGACTATATTCTCCAAAATCGACCTGGTTAAAGCGTATAGCCAAATGCCGATGGCAACAGAAGATATTTAACACAATTAGTTCCCTTTATGAATTAAGATAAAGAAATAAGAGGATGTAATTTGTCTGAATCGTGTAATGTACTGGCGCAACACATTTCGAACAATCTGATCACACACGGACTTGTCATAGGAATATACATGTAAAAAATGAATAAAGAATTAAGAGGTGAGAAAAATAGACTTAGGTCAAGTTAAAAGGACATATTCAAGGTCGAAACGTAACAATGAAGACCAATAAACCAAATAACAGAAGTAATAGTACATCTGCTATAGTATCAAAACAAAATTTACCAAAGAAGGTTTAATGTGATGACGAATTGATTTTGAACGCATAAGGGTGGCTTAAACTTTCTAATTGCTAGGGCTTCTACAAACTTTAGGATACGCCCAAAACATGTTTTATACATAGGTTTAAAAGATGTGTTAACGTCAATTTTATGTCCTGTCTCTATAATATGTTTCGCAATAGAAGGGCTAGGTCTCCTGTTCTCACCGTTAATAGGTTCTGATGATTCCATTTGTTTCTGGAGCCATTTAGGAATACCCTCTGAAGCCCCTACTTGCAGAAATCGATGAGTCCTCTCTGTGTATGTGTGTCTACACGCACATTCAAATTGGTAAATACAGTGGGATGTGACGTCATTTTTCGCATGTTCGAAGGGCTTAGATAGATATATTGGCTTTACATTCTCTATTATTATGATATTAGCTGCATAAAAAGTCTTTTTAACAGCAGCGTTCAGTCTTTGTCTAGTTATCAAGCTGCTTTGATGCCCCATATAGGGTAGCTTGATGTACACGTCTTTCTTAGGGGCGAGTTGTAGAGTGGGTCTTGGTGTTCTGACTACTTTATATCTCCTGATGAACTTGTCTGGATAATTGTTATCAACCAGAGTTTGTGTCAACATTCTTTCTTCTTCATCAAGTGTGTCTTCAGTGCATATTCGTTGGATTCTACTGAAGAGGCACCTTACTAAGCCTCTTTTGTACCGAATAGGGCAGAAATTGTGGTAATTAAGATACTGTCCTGTCCAGGTAGGTTTTCTATAAATAGATCTTTTTATTGACCCATCAAGCCGTCGACTAAGCAATATGTCTAGGAAAGATAAACAGTTATCTTCCTCTTCTACAGATGTAAGTGATATGCTCTTCTGAACTTCATTCATTCGATTTAAAATTGAGGTGGCAGAACAAGGCTTATCACTGATGACTACGATATCATCTACATACCTTCTATAAAGTGGCACATTTTCGATTAAATCTTCCGATAAATTCTCAATGTACGACATATAAATATCTGCTAAAAGGGGCCCTAACGGACTGCCCATAGCAACACCATCAACTTGGCGGAAACAGTCGCCTTCAAATGTAAACCTAACATTGTTAGTACATAGAAGTAATAAATCTTTTAAGTAAGATATAGGGAACGGGATGAAAAAATTGTTTGTGGAAATATAATCACATAAAATGTCAACTGTTTTGATCAAAGGCACATTAGTGAATAACGAGTTTACATCAAAAGAGTACATATTCTTGTTCATTATATTAATATTACTATCATCAAGAACATCAACCAATTCAAATGTATCTTTTAACACATACTTACAGAATTGTGTTTTGACTGGAGTCAATAATTCCACTAACCATTTAGCAAGTTTATGCGTTGGGGATTTGCACATTGACAATATAGGACGTAGAGGATTATTGGGTTTATGTATTTTCGGCAACCCATACATATGTGGGAATTTACAATCTGACAGTTTTAATGAGTCCAGTTTATGTTTATATCTATCTAAGCCCTTCGAACATGCGAAAAATGACGTCACATCCCACTGTATTTACCAATTTGAATGTACGTGTGGACACACATACATAGGGAGGACTCATCGATCTCTGCAAGTAAGGGCTTCAGAGCATATTCCAAAATGGCTCCAGAAACAAATGGAATCATCAGAACCTATTAACGGTGAGAACAGGAGACCTAGCTCTTCTATTGCGAAACATATTATAGAGACAGGTCATAAAATTGATGTTGACAGATCTTTTAAACCTATCTATAAAACGTGTTTGGGGCGTATCCTAAAGTTTGTAGAAGCCCTAGCAATTAGAAAGTTCAAGCCACCTTTATGCGTTCAAAAACAATTTGTCATCACATTAAACCTTCCTTGGTAAATTTTGTTTTGATACCATAGCAGATGTACTATTACCTCTGCTATTTGGTTTAGTGGTCTTCAATTTTATTTTTTGACCTTGAATATGTCCTTTTAACTTGACCTAAGTCTATTTTTCTCACCTCTTACCTCTTTATTAATTTTTTATATATATATTCCTATGACAAGTCCGTGTGTGATCAGATTGTTCGAAATGTGTTGCGCAAATACATTACACGATTCAGACAAATTACGTCTTCTTATTGCTTTA